ATGTCTCGTAGTCTCAGGATGTTTTCGTTAATAGATCTGTCAGGTATACCGCAGGTCTGATCCTCTTAAACCACAAAGGGTAGGACGGTTCGCAGTCTTGTCGCAGTTACTGTTGCTAAGATTTTGTAGTCACTGTTGACCAGGGAAATTGGCCTCCAGTTTTTTAGCATTGCCGAGTCGTTTTTCTTGTAGAGCAGTCGTAGTAGAGACATTTGTTAAGAATGTGATAAGCTGTCCGATATGTAGCAATTGTTGAAGAGTTCAATCAAGTCGTCTTTCAGCAGTGACCAGAAGCTCTGATAGAACTCACTTGCTAAGCCATCTGGTCCTGGGGTTTTGTTCAGGTTTAGTTTTTTCACTGCTTTTAAGAGTTCTGCTTCGGTGACTGGTCCCTCACAGCTTCTCGATTGGTGATGGTCCAGCGATTTTGTCAAGTTGTTAAGAAATTCCTTCTGTATTTCTGCATCAGTCTGTTCCGGGCTATATAAGTTCTGGTAGAATTTGCGAGCTTCTTCCAGGATGTCCTCGGGACATGTTGTTTCTCCTTCGGATGTCCGTATCTTGGTGATGTTTGCTTTGCTTTGCTTTTTACGTTCCAGGTTAAAAAGTATCTCGTAGGTCTCTCCCCGTGCTCGTACCATGTCGCTCTGCTTCGGATTTTAACCCCTTCTAGCCTTTCTGTTACTAGTTCTTGAAGTTGTTGTTCCAGTTCGTATATACGGTTTTTATCTGGTCTTGAGTTCTGTCAGTTTTCAATTGATGTCTTCTTTTTTCTGTTGGGTTCTGCTTTTTCTTACCGCATGCTTTACCGCAATTCCTTTGTAATGGATTTTTGCTGCGTCCCACCACTCAAGTATGCTTGGGAATTTATCTTTTTCACCTCTCCAGAACTGGTGGAAGGCTTGAATGTCTCTCTGGAAGCTTTTGTCTTTTAAGATGCTGACGTTCATTTTCCAAGTGCCTTTGCCCCTCGCTCCTTTGTTTGGGGTGACTACTATTTCATCTAGCGAGTGGTCCGAATAAGGACACGCCCGGACACTGGAGGCAGCCAGAAGATTTTTCGGTGTGTACCACTGATCCAGGCGCGTCTGTATCGAGAAATCCTTGTTACTCCATGTGAATATTCCGTCCTGTTCGTGCGTATCTCGCCATGTATCTACTAAGTTATTATCCTTAATGAAGTTTTCTAGTTCTTCGATTCCAATATTCCCACTATTTGGGTTTCCCCCGTGTTTGTCCAGATCTAGATTTTCTATGCAGTTAAAATCCCCTGCTAGTAGTAGGTTTTGGTCACCTGGTTGATATTGCCTTAACGTTCCGAAGAAATCCTTTTGTTCTTTAGGCATGGTGTGTGCGTATATGTTCATTAGATTCACTATTATTCCGTCCATGTTTGTTGTGGCCGATATGACTCGGCCTTCATTATCACGATAGATATTACTGAGGGTAGGGTCTAGTCCCGGTTTAAACAAGACTGCGACCCCCCTGCTTCGGTTTGATCCTCGGCTCCATATACATGAGCCCCCCATTCCCTTGTCCATAACTGTTCGTTTGCCTCACTGTCACTATGTGTTTCCTGTAGAAATACAATGTCTGCATTAAATGCACGTAAAAAATCATAAATCCGTTTTCGTTTTTCCTTTTCAGCAATGCCATTAGCATTTAAACATATGCACTTATATGCCATTTTAAAAGATAAAATGGGTGCCTGCTTCTCCCCCCTGAGACAGCGACAGCTGACCGCCCCTTTCTCATCTTTTTCCGCGGTGATTTCTGGCTCCCTGATGCCGTTACCTTCTTTCCATGTTCTTCTGCTTTCTTTCCTTGTTGTTCCGGTTTTTCTGGTTCTTGTCCTTTCGTTTGGGTTGTTGGTGGTGTTGTTTTTATTGTTTTGAGGGGTGGTTTTTCTTCCGATTCTGATGATGTGCTTTGACCTGGAGTCAGGGTGCTGACTGATTCCGACATTGTTCCTGAGATGGTAGGGGGTTTGGTTGTGGGTTTTTGTTGCTGGTCAAGGGGTTTGGGTTTTTTAAAAGGATGGGTGTTCTTGGTTTGGGTTTGTTGTTGGGTTGCTGTTGCCAGTTTTTCAGTTTTCATAGGGATGGTAGGGTCGTCTTGCGTTGTCCATTTCTCCGTAGAGGGTGGTTTGGTTGCTGGGTCTGATTTTGGGGTACTGTCCACTTCCGGTGTTGCTCCTGTGGTGTTGAGGGATTGGGATGCATTGGTTTGTTGTGGGTCTGGGGGATTAGGTGTTGGGGTGGGCTGGGTGCTCTCGGTTTGGGATGTTCGAGTTTCTATTGCCGGTTGTCCTTCACTTTCCATTGCTTGCGTTGGTAGAGGAGTTGTTATCGGGGATTGGGTGGTGAGTTCAGCCTGTGCTGGTTCATTCTTGGTTGTGGATATGTCAAGGGATTCAGTGGTCGTTGTGGTTCCGCTCTCATTGATTGGGGTTTCTTCCTGATTTGTTGTTTGCTCTGTTGTTCTTGGCTCCAACAAACCTGGGTACTCTTCAGCGTATTTGGGACAATTGTGTGCTTCGTGCCCCTTCCTGAGGCAGTGGAAGCATATGCGTTCTGGGCAGTCCCCCTTCGTGTGGCCTGATTTCCCACATTGCTTACACACCTTTCCGGCCGTGCATTCTTTCACCTCGTGACCCGCTTGGTGGCAGTTCCGACATGTTTTCGTCTGCCCTCTGTATGCTGTTCGGACTCGATGTTTCCTGACGTGGATAAAGGATGGGATATTCCCTTTTAAGTTGCTGAACTGGGCTATTTTCACCCCCGTTTTGATCTGTAAACGACCGTCCACCTCATCTATGAGGGAGTTCAAATCGCCATACAAGGTCATGGTTTTCTGTAAAAAGGTGCTGTCCGAATCTAAAGGATACCCGTAGAGTCTTACCCATGTGTAATTCACCCTGGTTCTTTCATATTCTAGGCTTTCTAGTACAAAGTCTTTCTCGTATAGTTTAATAATTTTGTTCTTTGCTTCCGTACGGACTTGCCGGGTTGTAAATACTATATACCATGCCACTTTGCTGAAGCACTCTATGCCATCGATCTTGTCCATTACAATACCTCCGTCTTTGAGGCTGTTGTTTATTACTTTCCGGAGGACAGCTGGGCCATCTGCGGTGGCTTCGGCTGGTAATCCCTCCAGATTTAGGTGCAAAGACCTCGGTCTCTGCATCACGTTTGCGAATGCACGCCGTACGCCACAACCGTGATAAATGTATGTGAATCTAGAATCCCGTAATAATTACTCAGTTTATTTTCACGGGAAAATTGTTCTAGGCGAAATTCGCTCGTATCTTCCGCAATTTTGCTTGTTCTCCACTGAAAAAGCTATCATTCGATAGAGAATTTGCTCCTGATCACCCTGATGTGTAGATCAACGAATATTCCCCAGTATTGGTGATAAAAATTGACCAAACCGATGTCTCCTTACACCATGCGACGATCGGCCCACAAATACAAAGCTTAACTAAGCCATACCTCGTTGTATACTCGTTATTGCTCGCTGAAAATACAACCACTGGACAGAGAAAACCTTTACGATCAAAATGATACTTTAGTCGATGTCCCTACATTATAATTACATCTTAAAATTGCGAAAAAAGACGGAGCTCTAAAATTTTACACTCGAGATAAGAACAGAGTTCTTATTTGGCTAAAACATTCATATCTTTTCATTTGTGTGTTTGACTGATTGTGCAGTGTGCCTATTATGTTGCCATAGTGGCGTCCTAGTGTTCATGAGTCCTAAACTGATTTTATTTGGTTCTAGCTGTGCTTGTCATATGCATAAAAAACAAAAAATAGTGCCTGGAGTTGGCAAATCATAAGTATAAAGTATAAAGTCGGAGAAATGATAAGTGTGAGGTGGTAAAATGGAGAGTTACTTAAAGAGAAAAGTAAAAACAATATATTTAAGGAAGGACATCGTCACACCCAAGATGTTGGCGATAGATGTCCGTGGACCCTTGGATAACGTCAGTGCAGCACAATTTGCGAAACAGGTTTTTGTACCGAGGTGACATGCCAAGTGCGGAGAGGACTCGTTCGTTGCCAGGGTGCCAGGTGCCATGAGCTCCAATGGCAAAACCAAAGACTTCGCAAGACTTGTTTTGCACTTCGAAATGGGACTTGAGGTGAAGGTATTTTAACTCCTTGCGGGCCACAGCTTCTTCTAGGGCTTCTTCGCCATTTTCAAAGGGGCAGCACACGTCGATGATTGTAACATGGTTATTGTTCTGGATTACAATATCGGGGTGAACAGGAGAGCCACTGTCACGAACAGTCTGGTTGGTAGAGATGGAGCCATGACACACAGCATTCGTGATGCGGTCAACAATCTTGTTGTGTCGTATGGTGATGGCAGGCATGTTGGGGGTGCAATGGCATAGGACGTGAGGAAGCGTTTCATCATGTTCGCAGTGGCGACAGGAGGGGCTGGAGTTGGACCATCGGTGTTTCACAGAGTTGATGGGAATGCAATTAAGGCGAGCTCGGTGGATAAATCTCCAATCGTTGAACCGTAGGTTGAGACCAGTGTAATGCCAATTGGAGCCATTGCCAAATTTATCGTTGGAGAGAGAACGAGCAACTTTGCCTTGGTCGCGGAGGTCACATAGAGCTTTAGCAGAGTTCTCACGTTCGAGGTTATGGAGAAAACGGCAGACATCCTTTGCGGCAACTTCATCAGCGTAGTCAGGAGAGGAGATGGATGGTGGGCCGACATCAGGGACGTTCATGGTGATGCTAACGGTTTTAGTGGCGTTGCGAGTGTGGCTCCAGAGGGAGCCAGTGCAGGAGCGGATGGAATCGAGGCGGCGGTCAGGAGCATTGGAGAGGAAGTTTGATATGAGCGAGGGAGTAGGATGTGACTGGGCTGCAAAGCGGACAGTTTGGCGAAGCTCAGATTTGGCCATGGTGGCAATTGTAGGGTCGGAGGAGGCGAGCATCTTGACAGCTTGGACGATTGTTTGGAGGTGATTCTCACGGGTAGGGTCCGCCAAGCCAAGGCCACCAGCTTGTTTAGACGCAAAGATGTAGTGGGTTGTGGCACGGGTGGGAAGGTAGCAGACAGAAGGGATGGTTTTGATGAGTTGGGAGCGGTAGGACTGGAGGGATTTTGTGGTGGGGTCGGTTGATCGGAGGGCGTAGGTGAGGCAAGGTTGAATGAAAGTTCGGATAGTGTCCAACTTTTGCCATGGGGCGAGGAGGGAGTTCTCGATCTTGTCAAGTTTGGAGGTTAGTTCGTCGATTAGCTTTGCAAGGTCGGAGATGTTGGGAATGAGACCAATAGGGACTCCAAGGTAGCGGTAATGATCTTCTTTGCTGAGGGGAGCGATGGATTCGCCTTGGATCAGGAAATTGTTGGGTTGGATCCGTGGAGCATGCTTTTCCATTGAGAGACTTGCGCATTTGTCAGAGCGAAATTGGAGGTGGAGGTGCCAAAGCGACTGGAAAGATTCTTTGTTGCAGGCTGGGATCACAAGGTCAGCGGCATAGGCCAGGATTGAGATGGAGGTGCCATGGTGTTTCAGCGATCCACGAGAGAGTGATTGTGCTTTGGCATTGCACTTTCGGATAATTAGTTCGACGGACAGGTTAAAACTCTTTCTCGACAGGCCGGTTTCGTATTACATTTTGATTAAATTTTTCTAATATAAATATCTCGGCGAGTATTTACCCCCCTTTTAAATAAATGCCACCATTGAAATCCTCACAATATAACCTTTCGAACGGGGGGTCAAGTGCCGTCAAGACATTACACAAACCGAAACAATCATATATTTATACTCACCGCTTCGCCAAACATTCAAACGAGAAAAAGAGAAAAAGTTGAATATATTCTAAACTTTGGTGTCATTTTCTGAAAGGATATATGTGTAAAATACTCTTTGTATTCAAGCGCTTTTGTGTAGAAAGTTTTGTATGAATACGGCGAGTAGAAATATTTATTTTGAATTTTTCAAGTATCGGGTTTTACTCGCACGCACTTGTATTACGTAATACTTGGCCAATAAGGAGCTCCCTTTAGCCGGGATGACGTCAAACTCACGCGTATGGGTGCACTTTGACCTGTAGAATCAATTTCTGGCATTTCCAGAGTCACGCGATACAAGCGTCGCATTGTTTTGACGGTTTTTCGTCATATTTCCGGTTGGGATTAACGCATATTCGGAGCAGAAATACAAAATTTGTCACTAAATGTCGAACTTTAAAGATAGAAGCTTGAAAATAACACTATACGTGTTATTTTTAACTTCTTAATTCATCAAGAACATCAGAATGAGCATACGTCTCAATGGGACGAAGTTATATTTGGCGAAAGGTATGTTTATGTTTATAATTTGTCAGTAATATTGCGTAATTTGATCATATACGAGCTCATTTGAATTCAAAGCTCATAAATCGCTATAATGTTGCCATTCACTAAATCTATCGATAGGAATGAGTAGCTATCGTTACACTGAATCGAATGGTGGTATTTTGGTCCACATAGCATTTACCGAACTGAAGATATGAACCACAAAAATGATAAATCATGAGTGATTTGTTCAATAGGGACCTGTCGAGAAAGAGTTAAAGAGGATAGCGCTGAGGGGGCATCCTTGCTTGACTCCAGAGTGGATGGGAATCGAGGGTGTCTTACCAAGGGGGGTGATGACTTCGGTGGTGGCGCCAGTGTATACTTTGCCAATCATTTCGACCAAGTCAGGAGGAAAACCCATATGGGAGAGGGTGGAGAGGAGAGCAGAGTGAGGTATGCTGCCAAAGGCATTGCGCACATGAAGCCAAGCAAGACAAAGTGGACGGGGTTGCCTTCAAGCATCATTGACGATGGATTCGAGCAGGAACGTATGCTCATAGCATCCTTCACTGGGACGAGCACTCTTCTGTTCGTTGGATAGGAGGTCGTGCTGGATAGAGAAGAAGGTCATACGTTTAGCGAGCACAGCCATTAGGAGCTTGTATAGGCATGACATGAGGGCGATGGGGCGGAAATTGCTCGCATCCGAGGTGTCCTCTTTCTTGTGAATGAGGATGGTAGTGGCGGTTTTCCAAGTAGAGGGCACATCTTTTGCAAGATAACAGTGGCGGAACATTTCAGCAAGGTTGTCTCATTTGGGATCGAGGAGGTGGAGGTGTCCGTATTCCAGACGGTCTTTGCCGGGGGCAGAGTTGGCCATGGAACGTAGTTTGATGGAGAGTTCTTCAGGGGAGGGTGGGGTGAACAGGGAGTGGTCGGTCTCAGCAGAAGGCACAAAAGAGGCAAGTTCTTCGAGCAGATGGGCGGTGTCACAGGCTCGAGGGCCAAAGGTTTGGGTGAAGTATTCCGTGGCAGCATCAACAGTGCCATCAAAGCCAGGACTTTCATTACCAAAGACTTTGCGTGCAGCACGTTTCTTTGAGATGCGGTAGAGGTGCTGGAGGTGTTTGGCAGCAGAAGGATCTGAGGAGAGTGGGCGACGACGGTCAATGGGAGGCCGAACACTTGGGCGATCAGGGCGACGCTGAGCTGGGCGAGGGTATTGCTGGGAAGACAGGGTACAAGCTAGGTCAACTGCATCGGTGGTGAACTGTTGAGTGAGGCGCTCAAAGTCATGGAAATCCATGTCTTCTTGAAATTCGAGCTTGTATCGATCACGAAAATCATGGAGGGACGTGGTGGTTTGGGAAGTTGGAAAGGAAGCTGTGGAGGGGTCCTTGATAACAGGGCTCTGGGCTGGTGGTGTCACGGTTCGGTTAGGTTGGCTAGCAGGGAAGGGATTGAGGACGAGGTGGGGGAGTAGTAGGCTGGTTGGGTTCAGGGAGGTCTTCCATGATAGATGGAGGGAGGTCGAAGAAGTCAGCAGCTCTCGGGCGGGGAAGTACTGGTGGCTGAGTGGTTGTTCTTGGAGATGGTTGACGGGTACTAGGAAGGTTCGGTGTAGGGGTGGTAATGATGTTGGCCATCAGTGGGGGGATAGCAGGATGTGGAGTTGATGGGTTCACAGGTGCAGAAGGTGCTGTGGGGACAGGAGTATTTCCACACGCCTCAAGGAAGCGACGTATCAAAGCAGCATTGGTTTCAGGGGGAGGAGAAAAACTTGGAGGAGACGGAGCAGATGGTGACATAGGGTTCTGGGTGTCGGGCAAGGTCTGGGAGTCCAAGGAGGCTGGGGAAGTAGGTGGTGGAGTGGAGAGTGGCAGGGACGATGGAGGTGAGGAGGTCGCTGAGGTTGAGAGGGTGTCATCCGTGGATGGGCTAGTTGGAACTGGATCATGGGAGGCTTGCTCAGAAGGTTGGGAGGTGGTTGGAGTAAGTGGTAGATGGTTTGAACGGTGTAATTCAAGATGATCCTGGACTTCATCGATGGTCATAACTTCCATGCAGACGGAACATGTATACGCGATTGTTAGGTTATAACAGTTGCCATGGCGGGAGAAGTGAGTAACAAAGCTTCTGGGGGACTTGGCTTGTTTTGCCTTGAATGGACACACAGGGCACTTGATGACTTGTTTCCTTAGGTTGAGGAAAAAAGGTACAGAAATTTCCAAGACATTGTTGAGCTCGTGACTATATCTCATCAGGTGGGCATGGCGGGTTATCATGTTCTTGAAGGTTTTGGTACATGTGCCGCAGCTGAAGCGTTCTCTAGAGGGTTGGTCGCCTGGAAGAGTTGGCGAATGAGCTAGCGGAGAGCTCATTGTTCAGAGGAGAGAAGAAAAACTTAATGGGACTTGTAGAGAAAAACTTATTTCAAAACATCAAAGGTATAGTATCCAAAATAGTTTATAAAAACGTCTGGTGAAACCTGGTGATGATAGTTGTGTTTTGAGAAAGTTGTCAACGAAATAATAGCTACAAGCTAGGTGCAGCTCCTGACCACAACAAGTCAGTACTACAATATTCAGTCAAACTCTGCAAGAACAGAGGAGACCTAGCTTGGCAAGTAATTTGCTTCAGTAAACGCGATAGAGTTTACTGCCACACTGATAAATTCTAGTGAAAAATAGCAAAGTACCAGAAACCGGACAAACTCAAACTCGGTATAAGCCGAGGAGGTGCTGAGAAAAAACAAATACGATTTAGGATAGCCGGTTCGAAAAAGTGCAGCGATAATTTGTCCACAATCTAGGAATAAACTAGCCCCAGCACGGGTAAGTTTATTAGTTTAATCTCAAACCTTTCAGAGAAGAAAGGGAGACCTAGATCGTGAGTGAATATACGTCTTGTCAAGTTTGTATAGCCTCGCGGGGGAAAAACCTCGCGGTTCGAGGGGAAAACACGGCGCTACACAAGACAGGAAAGCAGTATAATACTATCAATAATACTCAAACACAGGCCCGAACCCGAGGAGTTTAAAGTTGTGAGTAGCTTAGACACTCAGGCCACTACACAAGACAGCAAGCGTTCCTAAAAAAACGGCCGAGTGTAGCTAAATACGAGAGTGCCTATAAAATTCTGAATAACCGCAGTTAGACAAAACCCGCTAGTACACAACACTAAAACCTAAGAAACTTTATCAGCCTAAACTAATAAAGAAACTTAGCGCGATCCTTAACCTAGCAGCAAGGCCAACCAAAAGAGAGAGTTTAGCTGAGTGTCTCTAAAAGACCTCTCAACTGCGCAGACTCAGATGGCTGTATGGCTGGTTGTTTGAATAAATTCGAACTGGAACAACTAATTGCTCCCCGTTGCCAAAATATCACTTCAGTAACAGCTAAGTGTCTCTAAAAGACCTCCTAACTACACTTGAAACACTTGAACTTCTTTTGGGAAGATCAGTACCGGCTTCAGAGACACTGCCAGGAGAAGCTAGTGATGCAATGGTCCCATACCAGTCATGCTGATTTCACTTGGCCAACTTAGTGCAATATGACCAAGATTTGATTGCAGTGCAGCTCTGCTTCCCCCCAACCTCGGGGCTCCCTCAGCGCCGATGCTTCCAGAAAGAGTGCATCAGACATTGTGGATCTCTGCAGTAATGTCAGAGAATCCCTTCATCCGCAACCCCTACCCTCAGCATCTTTACCAAAAGGCCGAGAAGCGATCCTTCTTCGCCGTTTGCCACACATATTTCATTTATACACTTGTGCCACGAAAACGCGGTGAGAAGGAGCTCGCTCGCGAGCGATTATGACGTCGACAAACGCTTGATTACTCGTCGCACGAGCACGGCAAGTCCGTGGTGATCACCCGCCGCGACCCTCGCGGTTCTCTCGCGCACGCGTGTGCGGTCGTGGAGAGGGGCATGGCGGCCGTGTGGCATGGACCGTGAGACGAGAGTTGCAAATGTATCGGCTTTCGCGCTGCTCAAAGATCCATGAATGGGTCGAGCTTCTTTCACTCGCAAATTGCATGGTGACCCGGAAAGGTTTCGGGTCACGCACCGTGAAATGATGCAATGTTTGAAGAAATGTTTACTTGGTATTCGATAAGTTCGACCGGCAAAACACGTGCGTTTGAGTGACACGCTAGCCAGTTAATCGGCACTTGGAATGTACGTGCGATCGCTTGAAATTCCGTTGGCAAGCAAGTTACTTTATACACCGAATTAATTTAATAGTGTGCAAAGAGTCGAAGTGCTTACAAAATATAAACGTGTATGGCTTTGCTTACCATATAATATGAACACGAGATGGAGATTTCGGCACGGAGAATATATAAACAGTGTCTTCTGTGATAAATGATACGTTTGACATCTGAATCTATACAAAAACATGAATATTATATGTTGAAGGGGACGAGCGCGAACGCAGGTCCCCACTACCAGAAATTATATGCTCGAGTTACCCACATTAGGGGTAATCGCAGGAGTCAACCCAGTCGAAGTGCAATGAAAGGGCCTCATCCAGAGAGGACCTCCTAGTTGATCAAGGTACCTCTCGCGTCAGGTAAGTTTTATGTTTAAATGTGACAAACCTGCTCCCACTGGGGAGACGTGCAATGGGTTCCTCGGATTTCGGAGGGCACAACCGGCACACAAACAACTGGGGGGACGATCTCCACCTCCGTTATAAATATACCGGCCATTCTTTATTATTCTGACGCGGCACGATGGTATATTTAGACCTAGATCATAAATCTAATCTGGCTACGCTTCCGAATGTAAAAAGCTAAGCTAGGTTAAAAAAGCTTTAAAAAAGCTAAAAAGAAGACACAAGAACACCGAACCGATCCAGGCAGTTCAACCAATGAAAGCGACCCCCGTTCACGGAACTGCAAAGGAAAAGACTAAGTCAGCTAGCACAAGAAGACGAACCGATTCCGGCAGTACAACCAACGAAGGCGACCCCCGTTCACAGAACGAGGACGAGGCTAGCTAACCTAGGGAAAATAAGTAAAATGAGAAGACCAGCTTCTCTCCCTCAAAGTGGCCGAGAGTCTGATTTGCCAACCACTGCTTCTCAAACAACCGAATTTGAGAAGAATGACAGCGGCTGGCGAGCACTTTGAGGAGAAATTTAAGGCGCGCAATGATTGCCTTAAGACAATCTGCTTCGGTGCGGTGTTGATCACGAAAGCGGAAGTCATTCCGCGCAACCCACAGATAATGCTTCACCAACTGGAGCAGCCAGATGATGACCTGGGGGATGCGCTGACGCCTCGCGAGAAACCGAACAACAACTCGTCGACAGTGAAGGGTGTTGCCAAACCGTCGTACATCATCAGGTTGAAATAGACCCAGCCAACCAAGATACGGGCGTATCGGCACTCAAAAAAGAGATGTTCGAGAGTTTCCGCATCGGCACGACAGTGACACTGGAGATCTATGTTTGCCATCCTAAAGCCGGTGACGAGGCGGGAGGCGGTGTAGATGACACCGTGGGCGATCTTCCAGTTCACGATCTTCCAAGATGAATCTGGTCCCAAGTTTCGGACCAGTGCAGCGGGCCGTACCGAAGCAGAAACTTGCCGATGACCCCAAAGCCACCCTGACCCTTTGGCAAACAAACTGTTTGACGGGCAACCAAATCACGGCGAGCTGACCAGAAAAAAACCCAAGTAGCCTTGGTGATGCGCTTCTTGGCCCACTCCGGGATGGGAAAAACATGGCACAAGTGCCATATCTGGGAGAGGGCCAAGGTATTGATGACAGTTGCTTTACCCTGGTAAGCTGACGCCCATTCCAGGACGACAAGCGCTGCTCAACCTGAGCTACTGGAGCCTCAAGTGGCAGTAGAGTAGTCGCCGGCACTGATGGTGGCACCCAGCAAAGCCAAATCCTTCACCCACTTGATGCCAAAAGGGGTGTCCTGTCGATCTTTCCAGGCACCTAACCACAAGCTCTTGGACTTGCCATGGTTCAACTTATGGTGGCCTGCATCGAAATGTCAGTGGTAGCCGCAATAGATGTGTCGTCGGCATAACCAGAGCACTTAAACACCCGATCCGCACCCGGTAGAGGAACACCCTCGATGGGAGGTGAGGCGGTGATGCTGCATGCCAATACTTCGATGCAAAGGACATACAAAAGGGCGAAAGAGGACAGCCTTGTCGAACACCACGAGAAGGCTTGAAAAAAGAAGTCCAGCCATTGATGACGACGGCAGACTCGACATTAGTGTAAAAAAGGGAGATCTATTGCCGGAATGAATCTCCAAAACCAAACGTGACGAGGATACATTGCAGAAAAGACCAATCGACCCGATCGAAAGCTTTCTCTTGATCCAAAGAGAGAATGGCAAGGGGGATGTCTGCCCGATCAGCATACTCAATGAGATCAGGTATCAACATGAGGTTCTCGGAGATGGTTCGACCCGGGATGCCACACGTTTGGTCGTAGCCGACAATTGAGTCAATGACACCCAAAAGACGGCCAGAAATAGCCCTAGTGGCAATCTTATAGTCCACATTTAGTAGACTAATGGGGCGGTAATTTTTAGTTTCGAGACGATCATCTTTCTTGTACAAAACTATGATGATGCCTTGACGTTGTGAGGTGGAAAGGTGACCAGTTCGATATGCAAGGTTCAGAATACGAACAAGGTCTGGGCCAAGAAGGGCCCAAAAAGAAATGAAGAATTCCATCGGGAATCCGTCAGAACCCAGTGTCTTGCCACAGGACATGCCGTGAAGAGCAGCACGACATTCCGGTTCCAATAACTCCCCTTCACAGGAGTCGACCTCCGGCTTGCTCAAACGGCGAGTTAAACGACCCAGCATGATGTCCTGCTCGGATCGATCACAGTCCTCAGCCGTGAACAAGCGTTGGTAGTAGGAGCGCCATGTCGCCAAGATCTTAAACGGATCATGGTGAATGAGTCCTGTGTCAGGGTCACGAATACTAGTAATTGCCTGCTTGGCCCGGCGCTTTTTCTCCAAACTTAAAAAGAAAAAGGAGGATGTTTCTCCTTCTTCGGCCCATCGACAGCGTGCACGTACTTGCGAGGCCTTGGCTTCATGAAGGTGTATTGCATGAAGCTCCTCTTGCACAGCACAAAGTTGAGAGAAGGCAGAAGAGTCACTGGCGTCAAACAAACACGGCAAGCGCTTGAGCTGTCGTTCCAGATCCAATTTAGTCCTAGACCGTTCGGCAGCTCGACCACGACCAAAGCAACGAGTGATTTCCCGAAGGAAAAACTTCCCTTGATCCCACCAATCAAGGGAAGAGGAAAAGGTGGAAGAGGACTCCTCCGTCTTCCAAAAAGCCCAAAAAGAGCGAACTAGGGCACAATACTGCGGACTGTACAGCAGCGACGTATTGAATTTCCATACCCCCGGACCACACGCAAACACATCACCCAAATGGAACTTGAGCAACATGTAGCGGTGATCGGAGAAAAAGGAGGTATGGTACTGGCAGTCAGTAATCGATTGGTCTAAGACCAAAGGTGCCCAGATCATGTCGATTCGGGAAGAAAACTTACCCGAGGCATGATCCCACGAGAAGATCTGCTCAGCAGGATGACGTGTTTGCCACACAGGAAAAGTATGTGTGGCAGAAAGCAAGGATTGTTAGGCAGCAACACCTTCGCGGGCTGTGGCTGCCTGAGAAGGACCGGCATAAGACGGATGGTGGCACCTATCTAAGTCCGGGTCCAGGACGGCATTGAAATCACCGCAAAGGAAAGTAGGAACTGCCAAATCAATATAATCTGGCAGGTTCGCAAAAAAAGTGTTGCGCGCCGGGTTCTTGTTTGGCGCGTACAAAGAAACAAAGCCTAACTTGTTCCCTTCGATGTTGATCTCGACCTGCAGAGGAAGCACTGTCAAGGAGAGCCTGGAGAGCGTCCTTGCTACGAGCAACAAGGACAAGATCATCAGCGTAAGCTAAACAGGAGAGAAGAGTTTCGAAGTGCAGGAGTGATTGGTTCTTAGGAAGGTCTGCCGCTTTCTGTTTGACTGAACGGATGACAAGTTCCAAGCATAGATTGAAGAGGACCGCGCTGAGAGGACATCCTTGTTTGACACCCGCACGGATAGGGATGGGGTCAGTGGTCTCTTGGCCAACACGGACGGAGGTGGTTGCACCAGTGTATGCATTAGTGATCAAGGAAACCAGCTCATCAGGTACGCCAAGGTGTTGCAGGTTGGTCTGGATTGCAGTATGGGGGATGCTTCCGAAGGCATTCCGTAGGTCAAGCCAGGCAACGTATACTGTGCGTTTGTTCAGGCGGGCATCACGTATGACGGATTTGAGCAGGTAAGTATGCTCATAGCAGCCTTCTGCAGGGCGGGCGCTCTTCTGTTCGTCCGAGAGAATGTTGTTTCGGATGGCCCAGGAGGAGATACGTTTGCCAA